AGCAAGGTAATGAGATTTACAGAAGCTAAATCCAAAGATTTTTTTTTTTTATTACACTGTGAAAGCATGTTCAATTTTAATATTTGTCAACGTGCGTGAATTCAGCTTATCATTTGTTTATAGCATGGGAGATACAAATTTCAGCCGAAATTTGTGTAGAATATACATAATTAACAAGTCAGAAACAATTTTTATCCCCTAAAAGTTTGAGACCTACTTTACTCCTTCCCAGAACATTAAAAGAATTAAATCGTCAGTGCCATACGAACTAAAAGTCGATGGCATTTCAAGCTCCAGACCTTCAAAATCCTGGTGGCATTTTACCTCCTCCATATAGCACGTGACAATTGTCCACATTCATTATGAATTCTTTCCACGCCTGACTTAACAGAATTATTAGCTGAATTATTATTATTATTTTCTCTGAATTACCAGGGGCTGGACCCAGCTGTTAGCAGAGAGCAGATGTGATACACCTAAGGTAAATTGTGAGCTGACAGTTCTTACTTTTCCGGTATCAGGTAAGTTCTTGCACTGGCAAAAGATCGCTTCATCTGGCAAGCCCTTTAATCGGAAAGCATTTCCCTCACTGGTGAGAGTTTAAAGTGACAATCAAAATACAGTCAGAACTAGCAACCACTAGATTTTCAATCTACCAAAAGTCTATTACTAATACTTGTCCTTTCTCTAAAGAAAGATGTTTGTTTCATATGAAGAAACGTGTCTCTGGTGATTCCATACTTCAGAAAAAAAGATACGGAATGAGAGGCTGCTCTTTGCCCTTCAATTTAAAAGAAATGATCCTAATTTCTTGACTTATACTGTGGCTTTTAGTATTTGCTATATAGTAGTAGTATTTACCTACTATTAACTAAGTTTTATGACACCTCTGGCAGGTAGACTTTTTAAAAAAAGAAAGAGAAGAGATATACAATGTTTGGGGAAAAAACCCTCTAACCCATAATCCTGATGTGATTTCCTCAGGTCTTTCTGGGAAGAATCCTGCAGTGGAATCCCAGACTTCATGTTAAATCAGGGCAGAAAATACTCTTTGCTCATAAAACACGCTTAACATCCCTCAAAACTCCAATAAAAGTGCTGTTACATGGACTACCAGTATCTTAAACATTGAAAAGAAATGGATGGGAAAATACCCACTCTGTAAATAAGTTCAAGCATAACAGCCAAGAGCAAATACTCAGGCTAATCTATAACGTTTGATCAGTCTCAGATATTAAACTGCAAAATACATAACGCTGCAAGAAAGTAAAACTTACTGGCAAATCAGCCCAGGACGCTAGTGGGAAGAACACAGCCCCAAGGGAGGGGCACATCTGCTAAGGAAAATAACACGACAAAGTCCATTAAATGAGTTTAAATAGATCTTAACGCCAAGCCACAGCGCAAAACCAATGCTTTTGTTTTCTATTAACGACAAGGTCAGATATAAATCTGCGACTGCAATCTGCAGGTAAGCTAACACTGTGCAGCAGCGACCGTTCGCCATACGGAGCGGCGTTGATGCAGCGGGGCAGGAAGGGCACGAGAAGGGCAACTCTCCAGCTCACTCCGCTGTCCCTCCTGGCAGATTCCCGTCCAGTCGCAATTTCATGCCAAAAGAGCTTTACAGCGATGCTCCAAGAAGGAGAACAAGATTAAAAAGGACATAAAGAAGAGGGCAGGGAGCTCTAGATGTTTTAAGAGAAAGCTGGCAAGGTGTAGAGATACAGGAGGATAAAACCATTGTGCAAAAGAAAAGATGGGCTGTTCAAAAGGAAAGAATGGACTGGCAGTGATGAGCACTGAATATCACGAACGGATGAAGCCAAACGCAGGCTAAAGTGCAACTGCTTTAGGATTTTATTTTTAGTCACGCTGTTAAAGAAAATGGGCTTTCAAAGCCGAGTAGCGTCATGGCTAGCGTGTTCATCTGCCTTTAACCAGGCAGATGTATAAAAATGTATAAAGACTACGTTACCAGCGTAAAGGAAACTTTAAATGTCACTATAAAATCTTTACTGGAGAAGAAGAAGAGTTCAAACTGCAAGTTACAGATCCTGAACCAAACTTTCCAAAGTTTGGAGCACCAGTATTTCCAAATGTTTCTCATCAGAAGTGTTTTTAAGAGCACTTAGAGGAAAGACTTCATTTTTTTCTATTATCAGTAATGCCAAGGATAGCAAGAATTAACGCATGCAAGTTGTAATGGGTTCTCAAACCCAGAAACACCTTTCTTCCATCAGAAAACATTAATGAAATTTGACATAATTCATGTACACTCAGCCTACTGGCATTTATGAACACTTCAAAGTCCCCATTTCTAGCCATATTAGGTCTTAGGCATAGAGTTTTTCCGTCCTGAAAGAATTGACTGATTAAAATTCAGAGATGGCAAGCAGAAAGCAAGGGTACTTATTGAAGCAGAGGGAGCAGACACTCCACCAAACTGCCTGGCCTTCTGCTGGGCAGAGATCTAAATCTAGTCCAGAGACACAGAGAAGAATCAGAGCGACTTGAAATTCTGGAAAGGCACATTTTCTACTGAGTATTTCTTTGCTTCTGTTGAAAGATATGAAATATTAATGTCAATTCATTACACATCAATGCATTTGTATACTCCCCTGTTATCAAGTGTCCAAATGAAAACAGTCTGTTCTGAATAATTTACTCCTGAATCAGCCGCCAGCTTTCTTCTGCAAATCTTCAGTATTTGCCAAATCACATCTATGACTGACAACCTTTTAGAAAAGATGTTCTCTCCATTAACTTTCAGAAAGGTACCAGCTTACGCGTATTTGATGTGCTACAAAACTTGATATTCAGAACAGATACAAATGCACTAACAATAAAGTAAAAATACGTATAAAGGCTATAAGACACGCTGGGTTTAAGTTTGAGAGCCGGATCCAGCATGCAAGAACAACTCGTTCCGCCTCCAACAGTAAAGTCTCTCCAACCATCTTTCCAGGTGGTCCCCAAACACCTGTGGGAAGAGGCCGAGGGCTGGAGGAACCGTTCTGGCAACCCGCTTGTTGCTGTTTTGGTCCCGGGGTTCCCCCAGCTCCCCTGCCTCAGCCCATCACGTGAGCATGCTGTGGACCACCTCAGCCAAACTCTTTTCAACAGAGAACCTATTTGATCCAAAGCTAAAGACTCTGGGAAACCACAGCTCCTTAAAACAAACATCGATTTTGACTCAAGTGGTGACAATCCCAGTTACTCCATGATTATTTTGGTAAGTACCAGTCTAACACCCTTATTCGCTTTGAGCGCCAGCCTTGCCAACAGCTCAGTGTCCTCTGCCAAGGAGACAAAAATTATGCCCGGTGGCAGTTCAAACACTACACCACCACTTCCCTTGGTACGTTTAAAATACGAAGCTGCATTGCTAAGATAATTCATTCTGGTTTTGTTGTGGGGCTCTTGGGTAAGAAAAATTACAGCGTCTCAGAAACGTGTATTCTTCCTTCACGTTCACATCCCCTTTCTCTCGCTGCACAGGGTGGAAGAAATACAAATGCACTTGCTGATTGATGTTACCGTAATAATCCATTACCAGGGAAAAAACAATTTCAAAACAAGAGTCACTAACTACATAATTCCCTTATGAAATACAACAGTGGTTCTGAGTTAAGGATTTATTTTCTTTAATGAACACGGATATTTTTCCCCATTTGCTCACTAATGTACTCGCTCTAATGTACTCACTGTAACCTTTTTTTTTAATCATTTTTTAAACTTTTTCCATTTGTTACTAATGGAATATAATTATTTCCAATCTCAGGATCCTGAGCAGTAAACTCCACTTTTTTGATGCTGGGAAAAAACCTAAAAAACCCCACCATTATTGTATCGGTCACTGCAGAGCTAGAGCAGTGGTCAGCAGAGGGTCAGCACTGTGGAAGGGTAAGCTTGCAAAGAGCGAGGGGAGAAGCAGACTAATAGAACAACTTCAACAATAGATATTGTCTCAGTAGGATCCCAGTTTACTTGCACTTTCATTCTGGCCTTCATAGGCACATAGTTTCAATTAAATCATTCAGTCTGCATAGGTATACTCCAAGTGTGTGTGCGTATATACATATCTATACACACACGCGCACACGCTTTAGGTATTCCTACTTTAGGTACTCTTTTGCTAGAAGCTACTAAAATATTATGAAATCCAAGGCAACTTGCTAAATGTTGACTGTTAACATCAAAACCCCCAAATTAGCTCATGGTATGATTTGCAGTAGGCTACTGCTAAGAAATGGGTTTTTAAGATTCGCCGACACATCGCAGAGGAAAAAACATACCGAATTGAAACACACTTCCTGCCAGAAAAAGACAGAAAAATTGAAGACGGGAAGCCGTGCCTTTCGTTGTACATTCATATGAATTATAAAGATTAAAAAGAAATGCAGTGTTCAGCACTAATAAAGCTATATATCTCTTTCAGGCAGATAAGATCAGATTGTATAATGTGACTAGTAATAAAGATGTACCTGTAACATGAAAATAGGTGTTATGTAAAACAGAGAAGTCGTTCCCCTCATTTGTCCTAAAACGTAAGGGATGCTTGATCATCATAATTTGTGAATGTTATTCTTTTTCAGCTTCTACTTTGCAGGTATTACCTAATTTTAGTATTTGACTTTAAAAGAAAAGAAAAAAAAAAGACTAATCAACTTCGCAGTGCATGGAATACAAATATAATGTTAATATAATTGCTAATACGGCTGATTTTATATTTGATTTCTATGTGCTCAGATTTTCCAAGCTTAACGTAAAGAGTGCGGTTAATACATATATGAAGATATAAAATAAGCTAAAATTGCATTCACCACCCAGAATGTATCTTTGCATGCAAAGATGCACCACAAGTTCAAGTACATTAAAGGCCCGGTGGTGAAAAATATACTGACTTGATTTGGATGCAGTGAGTTCAGAAATAGGTAAAACATCTCAGCACGTACATAGCAAACTCAGGTTTATGTATTTTGCAAAAGAAAGCTTACCTGCCCATTTTTTCCCAATTCCATTTCAACTATTGCAACAGGAGCATTTATCTGATCGATGTGTCTTGACTGTGACTTCAGATCCACTCGCCAGTTCATGTTTTTCAAGACATTATCCCAACGGCTTTGATTGATCAGGCTCTCGTGGATCTTTACTCGGTGGTTCTTCCAGAATTTTGCAATGACTGCAGCTTGATCGGCTGTGATGCCACCTTGTTTTTTGGTTTGGGCGGTGAGAAAAGCCTCCAGCTGATTCAAATCCATGTCCGCTGAAGCAATTGACTGTAGGGAAAGTAAGAGGAGAAAAAGGGAAGAGCTTGCTCAAAACCACTCTGTAACAGTCTAAGATGAAAAGTCTACCAGAATGTCACATCTCTAGGGTTTGACAAGTATCGTATTTTTAAGGGATGGTACAAACAAAGCTGAGTTATGGAAATAACCTGAACAACTTTCATTAAAACTCAAATTGCAAGTGCCTACCGCTTATCCCAGATTCCTGCCCCCGGACAGCTGGAGGGTAATGGGACCGGTAACAGTGATGGGGAAACTGGGAGTGCCTTTGGCAATGCAGTCCTAGAACAGGGTAACGAGGAGCCTTCTCTCACTGCCTGCCTGGCCCCAGTATGCCGTATGCACGCCCAACTGGTTGCTGCTGGGGACGGTGTGCTGGGAGCTGGGTTAGGGGTCTGGCCCGACACTGCTGTTCCGCTGGTCACAAAGCTGGGGGACACATGGCATGCGCCCAAGGCAAGTGAGGAGACATCCCAGCTGGTCGTGGCACCCACAGCTTCATTCACCACCTCTGCGCTGCAGACAAAGGAAGCCAAACTGGTAAATGCCGCACCGGCCAGGCAGGGCGCACAGCACTGGCCACAGCGGTGCGCTGGCCACCGGGGCAAAAGCATGAGTCTTCCAAGGGAGAGCGTGAAGCTGGCCTTGAAAATGCAACCACAGCTTCTTCTGAAGCGTCAGTGGGCTCTGTCAGGCCAAATGCTGTGTCTGTCTTTTGCAAGGGGGGTGTAAGGGATCATTTACTCCTCGTCCCTGCAACAGCAACAGAAACGATTCTTCCCAAACACCCTTTTTTAATAGATATCCAGTTTTTCCACCTATTTTTCCAAAGCCGATAATCCTACAGCCTTAAATTTGCATTGCCTAACCGGCAACGGTTGCTAAATACGGCCGCGAAGGGAAGGGAAGACAGGAGGTGGGGAGAGGAAACGGTGGCTGTTTCCCCATCGTAGTTTCAAGCAGATGCTTTTACTTCATTCTCACCCAAAACGGATGCAGCTTATCCTAAACGAACGTGCCACCTCCACGCACGCGCCGATACGGGGCGCAGCAAGGCGAAGTGCGACCACCGCTGCAAATCCTTGGGATTTGCCTCGGTTTAATTTCCCTTGATGCGGTATTCTTACTGCTGTACTCCACACGTTCAGGGAAATAACTCTGTGACTCTCGTTAACCAAGGGGGAAACGCCGTGTGGCTTTTGGCCAGGCGCACACTGCGCGCTTCGCGTTGCTTGTCTGCAAAACTGGGTATCGCTTATCTAAAAACTGATGGGTTGGAGCTCCGGGAGTTTGTTGAGGATGCGAAACCTGCTGCTTCTCCCCGTTTCATCGGTGCTGGACTAAGATTGTTAGCAGGTGAGCTACCGGCAGGCTTTGCCGCCTTCCTCTAGACCAGACAGGTGTCAAAGTACACAATCTTAGTCACATCAGGAGCAGCCTGAAATAAAAGGCCAGGTAAAAAAAAAAACAAAAAAACCAAAACCAAACACAAAACCGCAAGAACTAGCCTAAAACAAAACGCTTGCACATCACATAAGCAACAGAGAACAGCGGCAGATTTGCTGCTTTGAGGGGAGCAAAGCCAACACCGCGACGTGCTCAGCCTTCAGCAGATACACCACCACATCCTCCTCACCCCGAGTTTTGTTTTCAAGAGAAAAGCAAACCAGACTCAACCTCCCCCCGCCCCAAAAAAACCCAACAAACAACTTTTTATCTACAACGGTTACACTGCCTTTTACCATCCAGTCTATAGTATTTTTTATAAGAGGAAGCGCTGCCTTCCCTCGCTCTCGCAACGGATTAGCTGCCATCTGTTACGTGATCGAGAAAAGAAATGGCAATCCATATGAAGCAACCGCTCAGCTGTACCAGGGCTCCAGTTTAATAGGAGTATCTGCCAATTTATTATAAAATTGCACCGCTCTGTCTTTTCCACAGGGCATTCATTACATCCGTATACAGTTTCCTTTTACCATGAAGATGCTTAACTTAAGAGGTAAACGTCCTGTAATATCCAACTATGCTGTAAGTGAAAAAAGCACTCCTTTTCATTTTCAAAAGAAAAGATATTTACTTACAGTCCTTTCCTACATCCACGTCTTACATGATCAGGACTGTCTACCAACAGCAGTGTGAAATATTTTCTGGTTTAATATTTCTCATATCACTACATCTGTTTGCGTGTTGCGTGACACCAACTACCATTTACGTACACCTTCTGTCTTGGTTTCTGGGAAAGGGGGGAAGAATAGAGGTGAAAAAGCAACTCTGGACCCCAACACCTTGGATCAGCCCTGTCAAGACCAAGATCGAGTTGAGATGCAGACTTTGTCCTCCGTTCAGCTGTGCAGAAAAATGCCTTCTGTTTTATTCCTCCTCAAGAACATAAACTGCATCCTCTGCACTGAATGAGGCAACGGTGTCACGGAGAAACATCTAATCTGCATTAAATGGGAACCCAACACGGATTCACTGGCTCAAATAACCAGGTAACCCTTTTCTCGGCTTGACTTCAACCTTCAAATATTTCATATTTGTAATTCTTAGGGGTTTCTTTTAACCTTACCCCCTTCCCAACAACCCTTTTTGCAAGACGCAGCAGGATCTCTGGCAGCGCTTTGCTAAGCTGATAAAAACCACACACACACAAAGTTCCTTATTGTGCTTGACGCATGATATAAATCTGACTTCGAAGTGTATCCGAAAGAGGAAGCTTATGACCAAGCTTGCCGTTTTAAGCATAAGGAAGACAAAAACAACATTACCAGGGCTTATGCAAGACAGTTAAACCGTCCTGTTTGGCCAAGATTATCAACAGAGTAACAATTAGTTAAGATCAGGCACGAGCTACATTTAAAAACTCTGTACGTTCATGTACTAGAAGCAGCCTGATATAGTTTGCTAACAAAATACTGTCACATAAAACAGAGGAAGGAAACCACGTGTCATAATTAGCTATCATTTCTACCTCTCTCCCTCTCTCTCTCAGACATGTGTGCACGTGTACCCACAATACGGATCACCTTTATACTATACATGGACACAGCTAAGAAACCAGAAGATAACAACGATATGTATTTCAACGGAATATTTACCGGGTAACGCATGCTTTAAATAATATACCTACATAGTACATCATTCAGACTAGAATCTCTCTCAGCTTGGAAACAGGACTACCAAACCCCCCCTTAAAAAAAAAAAAAGAAAAAAAGAATATAAATTTTAATTGCAAGCAGGTGCAAGCAATCAATGAGCTATGCCTCAATATAGCTGAATAAAGATATTAAGGAAGACGTATTTTCTTTGAAATTCCTCAACAAAACCCACCAGCTATAAAGGTTTTCAAGTCACAGAAGAACGGCAACTCATTTTAATACTCTTTTTCATTTTAACTTGAAATCTTTTCATTATGGACAGGAAACCTGATATTAGTTACAAAGAATGAGCGAACAGTTGAGGTCTTTGCTGATCTTCCATCTCCTTTAACGTACTAACAGTTACACAACTCACTCTTTGAACAAGTGCAGTTCTATTCTATTACTCATGTGAATGGCCACAGTTAAATTTCGGACTTTGTTAAAGCTTGAGGAAATGTTTTAATTTAAATTGCCAGAAAAATCTATTTCCAGTCATATTCTGCACAGCATTACAAACAGTTCTTTCCATTACTTTTAACAACGCTCATTTACTACATCAAATATCAAATTACAGTCAATACACCTTATTGATATTTCTAAGGATTAATTTAAAGTTAAAACAGGAGTGGTGGTTCTGCGCTTATATCTAAGGACATAAAATATGTCTGATTACAGGTTTTCTCTCATGCTTTTAAACCCTCGGAACTTTGGTTGAGCATTTACCACCACCAGGATGACGACGAACTGTTGTCCGCCTCCCACAGCAGGGACGAAGATGGTTTCGCTGGCAGGATAAAACACACACGCACAGTTTAGCATGATTACTGGAACCTTCTCAGGACTTAGAGGTGTTGAAACCTATTTTATCCATCAGGTCCTACAGCTGAATCACTGTCTACATTGGTTCGAGAGGGATACATCTTATTAACGCCAATCACGTAATCCAGACAGACCTTAAAGAGCAGGATCTACTGCAGTAACTTGAATTGCTGTACTGTCAGTGGCACACATCACTGTATTATATAGACTTTATATTCTGAGCTAAGTGTGTGTCCATGAAGACCCTGCCTTGGTCGTTTCCCACCTGACCTCTTCAGCAGTCCTCGATAAGCATATTTTTGCGATATATTATCCCAGCCCCCTTTTCATTTACAGACTGTCCCACCTCTACGCAGTTCTACAGCCCGTCAAGAAGTGCTGTGTTGAAAGTATGACTTCGAGGAAAAAAAGTTATGTAGGACCTAATTCCAGTTTTTATCGGTAGTCACAAATGATTTACTATTTTAACACAAAAATCTTCAACTAACAAAAAGCAGAAAAGATCTCTAAGAGCGTATAAAATCATGACTGCTCCATGCCACTGAGTAATTTCATTGACACTACTATGACTATTCACTCAAGCGACTAAGTAAAAAGAGCCTGTTTTCAAAACTAGAGTCTATATGAGAACACCATTAGATATCAAAAATTTCCTCACATTATGTAATATACTTGTTAAAATATGCCTTTTTTTTTTTTTAAAAAATTCCTCACATTATGTAATATATTTGTTAAAATATGCCTTTCCCCCCCCCTCGGAAGCACAGCTTGTCACACTACAAGCACACAAATCCTGCCCTCAGCAACTGGCTACACCTTTCTTTCCAGAGTCTGGGCAGATGCTTTTAAACAACAACAGTTTTTGGTCGTACTGGCTTCTCCTTGTGTTCACCTTCAACACATACCCTCTCTGTCTTCAGATATAATTCAGCCAATAAAAACATGACTTCAAATACTATTTCCTTAATGGAACAGTATTTGATAATCTGGAGAGTTTTGTATGGGCTTAATTAGATCCATTAGACATGTGCCTTGGTACACAGAACAGGAAAACAGACTTAAATTCATTATCTCTTCTGAGAAATAAAGCCTGACAAGCATGCAGTACTAGTGAGAAACAACAATTGGTAAAATCCACTGGGGGGGAAAAAAAAGAACACACTTCACTTCCAGAAACAAAACATTTACTTGTCAACCATTCCGGAAGCGCTCCAAGAGCTGGCCATGCCAACATGTGTAGGCATTTTCTCCAGCTGACCCTCAAAATCGCAGGCTGCTGCCAGCCTGCAGCACAAAGAAATCACCAGCTCAGAGAAACAAACAAGTCAGTGCCGCGTACCGTACTAATGAACTCGTCTCTTCAGGTTTTTGGGAGGCGGGGGCGAGAGGCTATTCCTGTAATACAACCCTTGTAATTCAGATGCTCTTAGGAATATAACCTTGGAAACCGTTTCTCAGCCCCTCGGAGCACGTACATGGAGGGGGGGGGGACACACCAGCTGCAGACAGGAGGGACGTGCCAAGGGACCCAGCTCGGCCAAAACATTTTGATCACACAAAACCAACTCCTGTTAACATCAAGATACTATGCATTTCTTTCACTTATCCTTAGAAGAAAACCTTTACTGGATTTGGGGCGGATGGCGGGTGCCAGCTTTCGGGTCTGTAGCTTCCTTCTTATTTAAAAAGAAAGGCAACCCTGGAAAAGCAGGGGGGGAACAGAAACAGATCTCATCATCTTTGGGCATAACGGCACACGCAGGTCCCAGAGACGCTAAGCTGCTTGTCAAAGTTAGCTCAGCACGTTCTTCTGCAAATAGCAGCTTCAGAGGGGAGGAATACGAGAACATCTCCGCAACCCTGTGGTTTCTGGGTCCTCCTTTGTAAGTATGTACTAACCAGACTCTCTCCCAAGGGCTGTCGAGATATCCAGTCCCGTAATAAATGAGCTGTTCCCATAGATGTTCCCTGGATATCAGTCCAGAAGACTTTCCCACGTTTCTGGAGACAGTGGAGGTTTTCGACTAGTTGGTAGGTTGTGCCTCACAAACACTGTTTATTAGAGTCCAAGAGCTCTCCTGAGAATTGGAATTAAGATAAAATTAGACGCAACAGCCTGCTTGTCTGCACTTGAAAATGGTGATCCATCTTTTGGAAAAAAAACCCAAGCGAAAGGTCTCTACACAGCCCCAAATTTGTAAGTCAGAAATCACAAGTGACCTTAATACGTTTAGTACTTCTACATCAAAGTAGAAAGATTTTAACTAATCTTTGAGTCTTCATCTAATCCACGGGAGATCACACAAATTTCTTTTATTCAAGTTCCATATTACGTCCCAGTCTTATTTTAGTTTGCTGCTTCTTGAGCTGTAATACACAGTTAAAAGTGAAATGAAACTGTTTGCTATGAGAAAAGAGCTGTGAACCATTAAGAGGATGATAATAATAATATATATATTGTTTAAAAGCCTGTAGTTTAATTTTTTTCTAGTGTGTAATAGATCTTCTGCAACACCTACTTCTCATTCCAACCTGTAGAGCCTTTTGATTCACTGGAGACAGTAGCCAGGTCAACAGACATTCAGTAGACTCGTAAATATTTCTGAGATTTTCTGACTTTCATCAAGCTTTCTTCTCGGACCAGAGGACTCACAACACGCAGCAGCAACAACAAAAAAATTACCTAACTGCTACAGCAGATGGGAAAAATGCGTGCACATCATGAAGTTTCGGGCAAAATTACATCCTTCCTGCATTTCTGATCTTATTAAGCTTGATTCCACCCAGACTTGTCAAATGTGCACAGGGAAGATAAAACGCTTCTCAATGGGTCCCTTCCATGCCTCTCGACCGACTCCTCCCTTTTCTCCACCAAGGTTCCCAGCGAGCAGAAACCCCCAAAATCCCTATCTTATTTTTTCTGCATACAAGCTCACCAAACCCAACGTTCTCTGCTAAAATTACTTTTTCATTTGAACATGAAGTTCAATAACGGGGAGTAGATATACAGCTATTTTTGGCCTAGCTTACAATTGAACGCAAAAGAGATCTCAGCATTACTTTTTAAAAGCATCTAAAGCGACCGCAACATTTTTTCTCCAGCCCGCCATCAGTCGGCGTGTCTGCTAGAAATGACTAGTTTGAACTCACAATTCCATAAAACGCCGCTTCCTAAATTTATTTGCAGGAGGTGTCATTTTTCTGCGGTATGAAGACTCATTTGATGACAAAGGAGGATGAAAGGTTGATTAAAATAGGCAGCCACCAGATGAACCGCAACCTGAGCCACGCTCCTGTGGTCAGATCACACTTCCTTGCAAACCTGCTGTCCTGAGCTCAAAAAAGTGGCTCCCCCACCCCCGTCCCATCCTAAGAAACATCTTTAGCTGAAGGAAAAATTGAGAACCATCTGCATTACTCTGTCTGGACCTTCTTAAAGACTCTGTCTAGGCCTTATACCACTTACAGAACAAGAATAAATAATAATAATAAAAAAAAACAAAACAAGCCCACCCACTAATACCGTTAGTCATAGAGAGATCTCCAAACTATGCCTGCATACTCAGACTACGAATAGATACTAAAAGCTTGTATTTTAAGCAATAAACATAAAAAAGAAGCGCCACCCCTTCTTGTATAATAGTTTCCAAACTACTTAAATTATTTAAAATAGAAAGAGGAAGAGATGTACAAGAAAAAAAGGCAATGGAAAGCGCTTCTCAGAGAGCACAGATAGGCGTTGGACAGGCTAGAGGGAGATAAAACAGGGAACCGAAAAAAATCAGGAAACGTTCTATTAATAGCAGGCATACTTGCAACTAGAAAAGCCAAACAGCAGCATTAAAAATATAAACATATTAAAAGTAAAAAAAAGAAATGGAAATTGTCCCTCCTGGCCTGTATTTAACTGAATTACAGCAAAAGAAATCCCAAGCTTTGCTACCAGTTTTCTCCCCAGTTGAGTCAAACTCTTTGCTACAGTTTAGAAGGCATTTTGCCACTTGGGGTGGAGGCAAAGAAATGTCACATTTCCAGTAGTTCTTAAACATGCAGCCGTGTTACAGACAAGTTTGACAGGTTCAACCTTTTTCAAAACCAAGGAGCATAGACACGTGCTGCCTGAACTACGCTTCAGTTGGAAGCAAGTTCTTTTCTTGGAGAATGTCTAAATCTTCGCAGGTTACACTACTCAGTCTAAAATGGTTTCTTCTTCGGTCCTCCTGAAGGAGTTGGATTCAGAAAGAAGAACTCTCGACAGATGGAAGCCATTTAATGCAGTATTGCTAAAGATGGAGAGGAAAATAAAAGGCAGAGAGAAATCCACATAGGGCAGAATAAATACCAGATGGTAAATACAAAAAATTCAAAGGAGGGAGTAAAAGCTGGAAAAGAGGGACAAAGGGACAGACAAACGCAGTGACAATCCCGGAATTGGTGACATGACCTGTCATTCCCTTAAGAGACCACGCGGTCGGCGTTTTTTCTCCTCCTCCGTTCTCTCACAATAAAAGAAATGAGAACTGTGTTTATCAGGTCTCTACAATCATTCTGGGAAAATTACTTGCTGCCGTGGACTACCGCTTCACATTTAATCTCATTTCACTTAGGAGAGTTAAAAATAGAAGTTTGAGCAGCTCGTATTTTGAAGGCACATGGGGGAAAAAAAAAAAAAAAGTTGCAGCCCTACTCCGCGCGCAGTAATGGTGCAGACGTTAGCAGAGCTTATTGCAGCTCTCCTGCAGGCAGCGATCCTGTCGGTGAAACCAGGCAAAGCGCAAACTTGCTTCATTATGAACCAAGCACAAAAACCATGAGTTAATTTTCACCTTTACTCAGTGTATCTTGAGCATTTGCCTCCTAAAAGTTAACTCAGCTTATTGCTCCCGTGGTTTACATCTGGACATCAGCTTCCTTTATAGCAAAGCATAGATGCTCCAACAGCGAACAACATGAAATACATGAGTCATACCCCTCCACTGAATGATGTCTTGCCATAGACTCAAATTCAGAGCCAAACTCTGACTCCAGGCTCTGTTTTCCTTCCTTTCACAGCACCATTGTCTATTATCTGTACTGTTCTGGGCAACAGCTAGAGTTACATTTTCCTACCTGGAAGGAGAAAGGTTCCCGCACTCCTAAACCAGGCTCACGCCGCAGCCCATCACTGCCGCGGCCCATAACCCTGCAGACACATTTAGCAGCAGCAAAGAGATCAGCAAGTAAAAGAGACAAGTTTACAGACTACAGACTTTCAAGGGAAGCAAGCAAGAGTGCTTTACCATCTGGTCATTCATCACCTATTTTGACAACTCGCGTTACCCGTTGACAGGTCTGACAGGCGAGAGGTAAGCTTCCAGTCTCAGGATACCAGCCGGCAGGTCTTCCTTTCGGCATGGATAAGATGGTTTTCCCTCCCGTCGGCTGAGTGAAATAGAAAACACATCCCCCAAACCAGTACCAGCCATAGTAGTTGTTAACAGCTGAGCCTTTATGAGGAGAAAGGAGCAGCAGGTGAAAATTCTTTACCCTAGGAATCACAACCATCACCCCCTGGTGCTGGAAAACACTTGCCCAGGAGCAAAGCCCAAGCAGGGGAACTCAGAAGAAACCATCTCTCACTTTCCCATAAAGATTTAAATATCATTTGCTGTATCAAAAATGCTCTTAGAACTAATGAATGTTTTTTGGGAAATAAATAAATAAATAAATAAATAAATAAAAGGGCTGAGGACTTAATGAAACAGCCAAAATATCGACCCGAAAGCCTTCTCCAGTAGAATCACGTTAAATATTAATGACTGCTTTAATGACCCCAGAGGGGGTTCTCTATGTCTCTCAGGGTTAGGCTCCTGACCAAGTCATCTATGAGGAGAGCTGGCCAAGGCATCAGGTTTTCCAGCGAGTTTGTAGGAACAACTCCCCACTCTTGTGCCCCCACCGACAACGTGCACTGCCCTCGAGAGCTGCACGTGCACGACGGTGGTTCACAGAGCTTGCAGATGCACGCCAACAGTGAAAACTGTTTCGTGCCGAACAAAATCCAGCTCTAGGTTTCACCGTCGCCGGCCTAAACAGCTAAAAACTTCAGCACTCAAATGCTCCAAGACAGTGCAGGCCAGCCCATCAAAAAGAATTCAATTAATTTTTCCCATGGCTTTTCTTTGGCTTTTAGTCAAATTGGGGGCTGCTCATATCCAATAAACGCCCTACTGTTTGTCCACACAAACTGGAAAATTCCTCTAGCGCTTTCTTTTCATTACGAGACTTTTTATAGATTTCCTGACATGTCATAAACTGACACATCGTAAAATGAATCCTATGAACAGAAGTACTCTCCCTGCCAAAAAAGGAGCAACTGACACTCTTCTAATCTGGTTCCCAACAAGCCAGAGCCAGATCCCTCGCTTTCGGTCACGCAGGAGGAGACTTTATACAATGGATGCAAAATAGAGGCAGGCGCACGGGTGCTCGTCCCGTACAAGGAGGCATGTCCAGTAACCAGTGGGGGAAGAGTCCTTCTGCAAAGTTGCATCAGCCACTCGTGCCTTTGGGCTCCTTCGAGTCCTCAAGAGAAGACCACGTTGGAGGTCTCAAGAGGTCTGAAGCAGCACAACAACCTCCAGCCTCTTGAGGACTCGTCAGTAAAGCACAGCTCAGGCAGCCCACGCATCTCACCTGTAATGCTGGAAACCAAACCACGGGGCCATACTGACCCCAACCAGTCTCAAAACCACAGCTTATCACCTTCATCCTGTATAAAAACCTAAGTGCGTCACCGAACGGTGTCAGAAGGGCACTCTCTGCATGCGTGCACATATACCGTGTAAACATGTACGTGTGAGCGCCGCGTGAATATCTGAGCATCTACAACAACAACAGCACACTGCCTCAATGTGCCATTTCTTCTTCTACAGAAAAAGGGAGTTATGAATATTGTATTCACTTCAAAAAAGATAAGAATCAAGTTTAATGAAAAATGCAAAATGAATCACAACTAATTCAAATGTATAAAATATTTGTACCATATTTGACCACGTAAAACTAAAGGGCACTTATACATACAGCTTGTTAGAACAGAATATAAACTACACTTCAACCTGAAATGGCCAAAAGAGTATAAAAGAACAGCACATCTGATGAGACAGTCTGAAAAGAGACAACAAAGCCATGTGTAAATGTCAGGCAAGGAGTAAAAATGTCTGTTGATTGCTTGCCTTTTACACAGATACTGCTTCAGCGACTGCGTGTATCGTCAGAACATGTTTCATAATCCTGGCATCACGGTTTATAGAGACAGCAAAGAAGGGAAAGAAAAAACTACCCACCAAGCCGAGGTAGGAATCTTTTGGCAGAGATCCCAAAACATCTCAACCATAAAAAAAATCAAACCTTATTTGGAAAAAAAACCCCATAGAATTTCACTCAAACTATATTTGTATTGCCACTTTTTATTGTTGGGGGAGGAGAGAGAGAGATGAAAAACACGCTTTCAGAAATATATTAAGATATGCAAAGTAAGATAATTACAAAAAATATTTAAAAAATAATTAGACAAACACTTAAGTCCAAAAATTGTTTGAACGTGTTGGCTATAATTGCACATTTGCTCTGCACAGTCTATTTTATGTCTTCTTTCAGTGGGATTCTGTTGTAATCTATTTTTACTTATGTGGAATCACACATAAAACAGCATTGTTAAGAGGCAACTATAGAAGATGCCAAAGAATTAGAGGGATGAAAACCATACTCCAAGACCACCGTCACCTTTAGAAGTGAAATGTGCAGCCCTCAAGGACAGCAGATAAACAGATGCTGAAGCCCGTGGGGAGTCGAGAAGGAGGCGGGAGCCACAGGCTTGCTATACAACTATAAAACTACCAACTCTATAAGAGATCGAGTACTCTGAATTAGATCTTGGGCGATCAGCTACAACCAGGGGCTCGGGCACCGTAAACAAAGTGAAAGGTAAATCCCACTTGCTTTGTTCAAATAGTCCAATTTTAAATCTTCGGGTGGCTAAAAGATGTATAGGATGATTTGGTTTCCTTGTATGATTCGTAAGATTTAGTTTCCTTGCGTATGGCTACTCTATACAACGGTAAACGTACTGCACTTAAGCTTCAGGTGTTCAGAATACGTAACAAAAATGCCCCCAAATAAAAAACCAGTTTGGTTTTCCCCAATAATGAACTCCTAATCCCTCACAATGGAGGCCATCCATGTTCCAGCCAGTTCTGAATCCATCCATATATTAAATCCTTTTCTAAGTTATTATGTAAAAGCATGTATTTATAATGATAAGTAAAAACTGTAAAAAAGGGGTATTTTAGGCTCTGCTTTTAAAGAAAGTTACTCACTTCATAGAATCATAGAACTGGAAGAGGGGAGATTTAGGTTAGATATTAGGAAGAAATTCTTCGCTGTGCGGGTGGTGAGCCCCTGGGGCAGGTTGCCCCGAGCAGCTGTGGCTGCCCCATCCCTGGAGGTGTTCAAGGCCAGGTTGGACGGGGCTTGGAGCAACCTGGGCTGGTGGGAGGTGGCCCTGCCCAGGGCAGGGGGGTGGAACCAGGTGGTCTTTACGGTCCCTTCCAATCCAAACCAGTCTATGATTCTACCAACTTACACTAGTCCAGAAAATCATCAGTGCTGAGATGATGGCAGTGAACTTCATTACCCTCTTCAGCACTTCCCCCACACTTTGGGTAATAGGGAACAGAGCATTAGTGTTACTGAAATAAAGGCGTGAAACTACATGTGAAGCCTAAGGGAGTCCTTTTCCCTTTTCAAATATACTCCATACAGCCCGTGTTTGATGAATACTAATTAAGCATAGTAGAAGCATTTAATTTGTAGTAATAAACTTCAAAGGCAAGATCCAACTCCCGAGTCTTCAGAGTAGACTCTTGTTAAGGTCAAGAGAAACACCGCAGGGATCAGACTAGACTAATAATTTCAGCATAATCACTGTGCCTTTCTGTGCATGTGTGTGCACATGCCTGTACACACACAGGTGTATATGCACAACATAGATATATGTACGTGTGTGATTAGCCTACGTAATTTATGCTAATCATACCTGTGTGGTGGGTTTTGTTTTTTTCTAAGAAAAAAACCCCTCAGTCTTATTCACCATATTCATCAACAACCTGGACGAGGGGACAGAGTGTACCCTCAGCAAGTTGGCTCGCGACACAAAACTGGGAGGAGCGGATGACACACCAGAAGGCTGTGCCACCATTCAGCGAGACCTGGACAGGCTGGAGAGTTGGGCGGAGAGGAACCTAATGAACTTCAACACGGGCAAGTGTAGGGTTCTGCACCTAAGGAGGAACAACCCCATGCACTGGTACAGGTTAGGGGCTGACCTGCTGGAGAGCAGCTCTGTGGAAAGGGACCTGGGAGTCCTGGGGGACAACAAGTTGCCCATGCACCAGCAGTGTGCCCTTGTGGCCAAGGCAGCCAATGGTCTCCTGGGGTGCATTAAAAAGAGCGTGGCCAGCAGGTCAAGAGAGGTCGTCCTCCCCTGTGCAACCTGCTCTGGGTGAACCAGCTTTGGCAGAGGGGCTGGACTAGATGATCTCTGAAGGTCCCTTCCAAATCCTACCATTCTGTGAAATAAAGAGTGCATCCAAAACTTGCTGGTGTTATTAATGATGAAAATACTACTTATTGGCAGAAGTTACACAAATGCAACAAAATGAACCATACATTTGGATGGGAAAAGGGAAATCAACAGGATACTAAGCATCGAGACCACCAGGGAATCCAGCTTTCTCAGCAGCGTGCTGTTCTGGAAGTCCATTAAAAGACAATTATCAGATTCTCAGTAGGTCATTTTAAAACTGAGACGTAATGCAGTCATTATAAACAAGCAGAGCTGGTACTGACCTGCCTGCTCTAGACAGGACAGATGGGGCAGCCCCCACCTCCACAACTGGGACAAAGCAACTAGATCTCTACTTGCAGAGATACAATCAACACTGTAATTGAGGAAAAAAACGCAGAGAGAGACTCCCTTCCCCTTTGGGCAATACAGAATTCACCACACCTGTTAGATATCAATGACGCAGGTCTGATGACTTCTTTTAACGTAATACTTTTCCATAGATAAGAACATAAAAAAATAACATGACACAAAAGGTCAAGTAAACCATTAAACATAAGGTAAGCCATTTTCACTGAAGTGGCACCATTGTAGCCATATCAGCACTTTACAGTTTCAAATGAAAAGAGTCTTGGACTGGCCTTGTTAGGTAATGACCTTTCACCTCTGTCTCACGCTTGAGTTACAGAAAATACTACTAATTAAATGAATGACGTTATAATGGTGGGAGCCCTTCTGTTTCTGCCTGCCTTCAGGATTTGCACTTGTGGCTGCACAGCAGTAGGAAGACTATGAGGTTTGTGATGCGGAGGTGCAGATTCCTTGCTCACACCACGGTGTTTGAACGACAGGCCAATGCCA